ACATGAACTCAGTCATATTTTATGGACACAAAGAAGAATGAGGATAAGGCTTGTTTTATAAACTCCAAGCGTAGAAAGAAAAATGGCTTTTTAAAAGTTAGGGTGTGTGTGTGTGCGCGCGCACACGTGCACACACACGCGTGGATTGTGTATGTGTGTGCATGTGCCCAGGTATGCGCTTGCCACAGCCTGAGTGAGTGTGGGGGTCAAAGAACAATTTTCAGGACTTGGTTCTCTCCTTCCATGTCGGTTTGAGGGATCAAACTCAGGTCATCAAACTCTCATCCACTGAGTCATTGAGCTGGTCCCAAAACACCTTTTAAGTTTTATTGGCAGTGCTGGATTCAAACCAAGGGCCTAGGGCTTGTCATACGAGTGCTCCACAGCTGAACACCATTCCTAGGCCCTGTGGAAATGTTTTGATCGTTTAATCATGAGATGCGTGGGCATTATTAATGTTATTTTCTGTACTTTTCTGCATGTCTCTAATACACCCTAATTTATAAAACACAGACACGCTCAGCACTCCCCAGGACATCTTGGTGTACAATTACGCTGGAAGCGGCTTCTGGGCTGAAAAGGGGGAAACCTGATTAGGAGACTGGCTGTCTAAAAAACGGCGAACTTGAATTGGCTGGAGGGATGGCGCAGCAGTTAAGACAATGGTTCTCAACCTGTGATTCGAGATCCCTTTGGGGATGAAGGACCCTTTCACAGGGGTTACATATCTGATGTCCTGTACATCAGATATTTACATTATGATTCATAACACTGGCAAAGTTACAGCTATAAAGTAGCAATGAGAATAATTTTATAGTTGTGGATCACCACAACATGAAGAACTGTAGTAAAAGGTTGCAGCATTAGGAAGGCGTTGAGAACCTCTACATTGAGAGTATGCACCGAGTTTGGTTCTCAGTCCAGGGAGATTGGGCATTTCTGATCTCCGAGGATAACTGTATATACATGTACATGTCCACACACTTGCATATAGTTAAAAATAAACAAATATTAAAGAAAAAAAAAAGAATGTAGAACTGGCGCCTTCTGAAGCTGGGGTTTTCAAGACACCACAGGGGCATTTACAAAGAATGGGGTCTGGGGTTCGGGCTGTGGCGTTAAGAGGCTGTTGCGGCCAACATAGTGTCTCTAGTGGAGTAAAACAGGAGTTAGGGTTAGAAGCTGAGGTCCTGGCTTTGGCCGATTTGGTGGTGGTGGTGGTGGTGATGGTGACCTCAGAAGGCCACCAGGAAACTAAACCGGAATGGGTAGGAGGGGGCAGCTGTTAGGCTCTAGGCCGGTCCAATGAGGTCCCCCCCAGGTACACTCTGTGGTAAACTCCAAGTGAGGTCGATAAGATTGCACCCGCAAACTCAACCACGCTCGCTTGAACTGGGTAGGTGTATTGGCACAACTCTGTTCTAAACGAGTCACTTAAATCCAAAGGCCATCCGAAGCTGGGGCGGTGAGGACAGTGGTACCCAGCGGCTCCCACACTCTGGGGCGGCTTAGTTTTGCTGACGGGATGTAGGTGTGATGTAGGTGTGAGGTCAGCGGGCTGGGGACAGTGGGCTCAGTGCTCGATCTGCGCGCGGGAGGCCGGACGGAACCTCTGGGGGCCGGGCTCGGGGCCGGG